GAAGGGGGGGGGGGGGGGGTGTGCTGATGTGTTTATGTACAACTCTATCCCAAAAATGCCTAAATCAGTGCTGGTCAAAGTAAGGGCATAGGCTATGAAGCAAATATGCATCCCATAACGAACTATTTTGATTGATAAATGACAGTTATTTTAGAACCATTTAAAATTTCATTACAAAGACATTTGTTTATCTTTAAAACGGATTAAAGAAACACAAACGACTAAATGGAATTTTTGTAATTTGTGGAATATTTCAGAATATGCTCACCTGCTTCAGCTTATGTTTGTTGCCTTGGTAACCTAACGATTTTATTTAATTCCATAAAAGAAAGTAAGATTAGACAATAACAGCCAATATAACTTTATTTAATTGAAAAAGCAATTTGTTCGTTTTTTTATTTATTTGTGTCATTTTATAAATGACATTATCCCATCAATCCAATTGATTTACTCATATCGTAACGTCATAGACCTCTAGATGTCAAATTTAGGTCTGAGAGCATTTGCATCACTGTCCATAAGTCAGTTCTGAATTGTTGCTCACTTTACAATCATACTTGAGATCCTCAACTTTTATCTGAGCAGTGGTGTAATCGTTAGCATTTCATTCATTTTAAGAGCTGCTGGATATGACAGCTTCTTTGTGGTTGGGACATCAAATATTTATAAATAATATCCATGAACAAGTGCTGATTTGCAATGACACTTTCATTACAGTAAGGAGCCTATTAGTCACATTCAGCTCAATGACATGTTAATGTCCCTGTTTGCCATCTTTGTCATTTACTGCTTCGTCTTTGCACCCTTTTAAGTATTTAGTATAACCACTGGATCCACATTTACTGTTGGCGATATGCTCCAGGAGATAGGATACCTGAGCTTGTCAGTGGTCCTTATTGCCCTGCATGTAGCTTATGTATTGTGCTTTTTTTTAAGTATGAACTGTTATGTATCTGTTTATTTGTTTGTTCGTTCGTTTTTCACATTTACAGTTCTAGTAATATTTTTTTCTGCTTACAAAATTTGGACATTTATTTGTTTGAAAGGTATTTTCAAAGAGGAAAGTAATGCTGCAAAACAAGGTTCGAGAGGAGCTGTCCCGAATTTCGCTGTGCGAAACCAAGCCCATCTAAGATTAGAGAATATGTCTAATTAGAAAAAAAATAAAAAATTAATGTAACATTTAATATAGAAAAATGAACATGGCATAGACATGAGTGTAAAGCACTGGGTTAGGTGGTGGGAACACGGAGACTCTACACCTGTGTAGCGCGGAGAGCAGGTGGAGCCACAAAGGTCAAAGCGTTGTTTAGTTTACCCCAAAATACGTCCGACCACTTGTCACTTTCAAAATGCTCAGCAAGGGGTTTTCCTTTGTATTTCACACGCCAAGAAAAGTAGAAAGTTTCCAAAACAGTTGTTGTTTAACGTTTTAGGTCTGTTAAATGTTACGCGTAAATGGATAAACAGCCTTGATGGTAGCCAAGCAATATTCTCCAGATACTGTTGCTGAAACTCCAAACGGCATGACTGTTCTTATTGAAAAACCGTTAAATGATCACTGATGTTCATAATTATTAAATCTGTATAACGTCTCTTTTATTGTTATTTTTGTTCTATAATAGCAAAGAGGCCTATCCAAGGCTCGCGACTAGGCAAAAAGCAGGATGTGTTATAACCTTGCACTCGTTAAAGAGTCAACTCTTTCCCGCCAGTCGTCCTAGAAATAGATCCCTCATTAAAACCCGTTGAATCTAAACTATTTCACAGTATCTCTAGTCCAAAACAAATAGCATCTATAACAGCTCCACGTGCGCGTTCATTATCCTCGCGACAGATGCAAAGAAATACGTTTATTTTTGAGATATAGGACCACGGTTACTGTAGAAGCATCGGAATTTGGCACCCATTAGCAAAAGCAGTCGTTTCATTTATGTAATTTATTCCTGTAAACGCCATCTAGTGATACACTTAAGACATCATCATCATCATCATCATCATCATGATGTGCAGTAGGCTATAGAATGAGGCGATCATATGTTTTAGTTTTTGTATAGGCCTGAGTGACAACGGATTTATTTTCTTAATCATCTGCGGTGTATTTTTTATAAACGTCTTGTCGGATGCTGTGCTTTAAAAATGTTTTATTAAGCCAACATGCGGTAAATATTCCAAAATATTCGGTAAAAACGTGCTAAATACATTATAGATCAATCTGAAGCTGGGATAGCTTTTACATACCTTTTTAATAGTAGGCCTATGAGCGCGATTACAAATCCGTTAGTACTAAATAGCATAACCATTGAGAGAAAAACACACCAGCAACGACCTAATTTGGGCTAATTTGAATAAGGCTTTATTTTTAACAGCGAAATGCAGCAATAAATGACTGAATATGCTGTCGAAGTAGAAGGCATCAGAACAATGTGCTTACAACCATTTATCCCATTTTAAGGAATACGGAGACAGTTGTGGAAGGCCCTGTTGGTGGCTTTCAGAAGGTCAGTCTCAGCAGCGTCTTTAGCCTGAAAGTGAATTCAAGAAGCGACTCCTTTTCTTTTCCCATGGGTATCACTTAAATATAGCCCTAACTCTTGTGCGCCACACCATCTACCATTTGCTGTTTGAGTAGAACTGATTAGCTAGACACAACTGTGAAAGAGTGTTGCTTTAATAAGAACAACATCCCAAACATTTTTAGGTCGCACTTCATTTTTACTTGTAAATGAATACGGCAGCTTCTCGACGGCTATTGACCTTTTTATTTGGAAAGAATGTTGATATTTTTTGTAACCTACATTGTCGAAAGGGTGGGATTAAGTAAGCTTAGTTTAATTTATAATTAATAATCTGATCGTAGTAATTGTTAGTAGGCTATATTATTTCTGTAGAAGGTTGTCTTTAATGCAAAGTTTAAGGACGGCTGACTGAAACAGTTTGTGATGGTTGTTTTCAGCTTGAAACAGATGCTGATCCGTTGAAATTATTGCCTATAGTTGTATTCACAATAAGATAAAATAATTATTTTTTTATGTACAATGTTTTTTTTTATATATTATTTGAATTAAAATATATTATTAATTTTAAAAAGGACCGCTGAAATAATACACCATTCCAAAATTACTTAATCGCAAATTTAAAAATATAATCAAGGGGTATCGTTTATGTTTTCATATAACACTCATAACTGAAAATATATTCTTTAAAATGTATTCTGTTGATGAAAATTAAAATGCTACATGTAATCGCATATGCTACTTAAACAATATAAGTAATACTACGTACACCTGTAATTTATACATTATTTATCGGTTACATTCCTGTAATTTTAGAAATCGTCTGTTGATTTAATAAAGTCAGTTGTGCCTGAGATGCATTGGATTGTTTTCATATTTATTAACAAATGAAGTTGATTTACAACACAATATAGCTACATAGAATACATATATTTAAATTTAATAAACATACTTCTTCCGTCTTTCAATAAGAACAGTTTAATATTTCATATTGGAAAACAAAGAAAAAAAAACATTTTTCTTGAAATCACTTCTTTCAGAATGAAAACAAAATATTACGGGAAAATAAGGCTCACTCAGCTATAAGTTTAAACAACGAAATGAAATAGGAAAGAAAAACATGTAAATTAATTTATTTGTACAAATATTTACAAACATTACCTGTACTGAAAGCATTCCTTTTTGATTATGAATTTTCATTTTTTTCTCAAAAGTCTTTACACGGCTACATTGGGGCGGACGAATTGTCCAGTGCTGCCTATAGTTCGTGCTGTATCGTCTTTAAAATATATGTCTAAAAATAGTTTGATTATCATTGAGAAGGCCATTTAGATATCGCTGCTGTGGACGCTGTCGGTAAAAATTGTCCGGAGATGATATTTGACGGGACGCTGAGAATTGGCGTGATGGCAGCTGATGTCCGGGTTAAGGAGGACAGAGACTGTGCGCTCAGTAAGGCGGACTGCACCGTCACGGGCGGCCGCAGGAAAGTCTGTGCGCTCGTGGAGCTGCTGGAGACCCCGATAATATTTTCTATGCTGAACGATGGTCGACTGGACGGCTCGGATTTGATGATTGACGCGGTGCTCAGGCTGTTCAGTTGTAACTGGAGACTTGGACTTAGTTGAGAGTTAAATGCTTTTCTGTTCAGTTCTGCGGAGGGCAAGAGAGGCACCGCCGGAGGGAGCATCGGACCCACCGGGGGAATGTACGGGTACTGCAGAGCGGCTGCAGGGTGCGAGTAAGCGGCCGGGTGAAATCCGTAGTGGCGTCCGTAGGGATTCCCAATACTGTACGCCCCAAAACTCTGCATCATGAGGGCGGTCTGCTCCCTGAGAATGTCTGGCTGGTGTCTCTTGAAGCGTTTCCTCCTCCTCAGAAAGCTGCCGTTGTCGAACATATCTTCCGACTGGGGGTCGAGGGTCCAGTAGTTGCCTTTGCCCGGGTTGCCCGGTTCCCGTGGGATCTTGATGAAGCAGTCGTTGAGGGACAAGTTATGGCGAATGGAGTTTTGCCAGGCCGGGAACTTCTCTCGGTAGTAAGGGAAGCGGTTGCTGATGAACTCGCAGATTCCGCTGAGAGTCAACTTTTTCTGCGGGCTCTGGAGGATGGACATGGTGATGAGGGCGATGTAGGAGTAGGGCGGCTTCACCAGGCTGTTCTTGGACTTGCTTTGCATGGGACCGGTGGAGCTCTCCTGAGCACCCCCCCTGGACTCTCCCTCGCCGGCGCTCTCGCATGGACTGTCGCTGCGCTCCTTCACCTCGATCTCATCCACCTCATCTCTCCGGTCCTGCATGCACCGGCTCTCGCAGTCACTGTCCCGCTCCATCCCCTCGTCGCCCTCCCCGACCACGTCGATATCAACATCGTCAGCTGTGAGCACGGTCTGACCGGACATGTTGCTGGCACTGGTGCCTCCAGACAGGGTCATCACCGCTCACTTTACTGCTGGAGCAAACCAAGGTAAGAGCAGCGGTCAGATCAGATGACGACCGGCTATAAATGCAGGTCAGTCCCGGCCTGCCAGGAAAACTTCAACTTTAGAAAATATTTCTCCAGTCCAAAGGCTTCTTTACACCTTGTCTCCTTTCCGCTGTATTTCCTCGAAACTTAAGCCTGGTTTTGGACCGAGGAGTCAAGATGACACGTGCTTTGAAAAGAAGGCTTTAAGGACTGTCTGATAGATTACTTTTCACTTAAAGATATACTATCAGCCGCGTCACGTGACCCTCCGACGTCAGAGGTCGCGCTGTTATACCGCCGAGCTGAAGTTGTTTCATGGATTTGTCAACAAAGGGAACAACAGTAACGTCGCCTCTGTTCGTCCGTCATAGACCATTTAGCGGTGGCGGAAGGGAGAAAATCGGCCTGCGTGACTGAAATCATCTCCAGAGCTGACGTGCATTCATTCGCCCGCGCTAAACGCAAACTTAACTTTTCTTAGGCCAATTATATTGAAAGCTGCTGAACGAAAACGTCTACAGCTAAGTTAATGGAATCTCTTGTCATTTATTGTGTGCTCGAATACTGCATGATTAAGCGAAGAGTTTTAAATAGCCTACTGTACTTTATAATAAAATTCTTTAGTAGAATTCAGTTTGGGGGAAAAACGACTTACACTTGAGTGTTTCTGCAGACGTAGCAGCGCTGATTTTGTTACGTGTGAAATAAGTACAAAAACAATGGAAATCTCTAAATAAAGATCTTTGTAGAGGTGCTAACGACCCGCATCATTGCTCGTGTTAACATATGAATTAAGTAGGAAATGAGCGCGCGGGTAAATGCATAGGAGCCATTCACACGCGCACAGGTGAGCGACGCATGTGGGATATTCCCAAGAAAAAGAAAGCGGAGAGGGAATATGTAAACTCTTTTAACATTTCCTGGATCGTGTGAGAAAACGCTACTCTGCGCGCTTCATGGGAACTGCAAGGTTTAATACCGTTTTACTTGTGGTTTGTACTTGGATGCTCTTGTTTCTTGTAGCCTAATATTTCAGAGATTAAACACTGATGTGATTGTATTGTTTTTGCCGATGCACACATAAAACAATGTTCGCATGTTTAGTTTAATCTCTTATTTAACCACACGTAATATAACGTTTTATCGATCTACAGGTAGGGATATCTGCCCAGCTGTAATGAAAATGAAGGCTGCATCATGTGACGGTGCGGATACAGTGGCTGAACGTGATTACCCAGCAAGGTCAGAAGCAAATAGCTCACAAATAGCAAAGCAGGATCGAATTTATGCCTAATTAAATCGCTGAAATAAAAGAGATAGAAGGGAAAATTGAAGGGCGTAATGGGAAATGTATCCATTCAGGGAAGAGGGGATCTGCAGAGGAAAGGATGTAACCCAGATGAAACTGAACTTGAACTAGGAGGATGCTTCGCATTTGAAGGGTATATTAATGCTGCACGGGCTTAAATAAAATAGATAGGCTACCTAATACATTAATGAATAGGACATTGCAAGATCTTATTAAATAAAAAAAATAGGATAATTCTTGTCAATATTGTTTTTAATCCTTTTTAAAGTTTTTTTATTTATTTATTTATTTTTTTTTGTAAAATGTCTATTATCAGTACTTGAGTCGTACTTTATCTAAATCGATAGACTGGGTGTTTGATTTGACATGCTGCTTGTATGCACAGCAAACTACACTGTTCGGTCATTAACGTGTAATGTATATTTTTATAAGAGTAATAATAATAAACTAAATAAAGATTCTGTACTTCGTTGTAATCAAATGTATTTTGTAAGCGTCTCATCTTTTGCAAAACTGGTCGTGTAAAAACGAGTCATTTTATTATGTAAGCACAGTTGGGGGCAAGCTTGTACAACTGTAATAAATTAATGGCTTTGTTAGTGCGCTTTTAATTACGGTTATTGTGCCAATTATTTTACATCAACTCCGCATTATCAGCATGTCAGATTTAATAAAAAGGAGTCATTTGCAGGAAAACTGTTCCTCTCATCTAGAAAGGGAAGTGTCCACGTCATACTCTGGTTAAAAAATGACTTTTCATTTAAATGCAATCCTTAATTGGATTTTCTACGGTCGACACCGTGATCCCCCAAGGCTATACCCACCAGAAGGCAGGATCTCCGTTTTCTCTCTGAATTCACCATTTTCACCCTCTTGAAGAATCCACTCTATCAAGCTGCAACTTTCTGTCAAACAATATGATCCAGCTCATTTTTAACAGTCCCCTTTGTAGTATCTTCCTGCAGGCTCCTACCATTACGGCCAAACCAGAAAATCAGTGTTATGCTCGGCAAATTCAGTTGAACATAACATAATTCTGTAGGTATAGGCTATACAAAATAGTAAATGACAACGTTATCAAAGCACTGTTCGAAAAATAATGAACGAATAACAGATTTAAGCTGTCATCCCTGAATAAAAAAGGAGGGCGTCAAAACAATCAGGGCTATGCTTTTGACATAGTAAATGACAACGTTATCAAAACACTGTTCGAAAAATAATGAACGAATAACTGAGATTTAAGCTGTCATCCCTGAATAAAAAAGGAGGGCGTCAAAACAATCAGGGCTATGCTTTTGAAAATGAACATGGAATTATTGTTATTATTTTATATTCACAATCTGTTTGTATTTTACACAGAGCTGTTGTATGAATTATTTGTGATGTAAAATGTTTAATTTTCTCATTTAAATACATTTCCTGAACAAATGTTGTTCCACACAAAATACAGAGTTCCATCAGATGTCTTAATGAATTCAAATGTATCGTGTAATGAATAATGCTTATTTTATTGTCCTGAAGATTGTGATTTTTTTCCTCTTTCTGTAGCTGGAAGTAGAATTAAACTGGCTGCACGTAAGTAACTGCCACAAAATCCTAACTCATTTTCTCAAACCTAAATGAATTCTGGTGTTAATTGTTAAATCAGTACGGTGAATCTCTGCTATAAAACTCCATTACCTTACATTTCTGCTTGTTTGTCGTTTTAGATTGTTATGAAGCATATAATAATCAAGCATATGCATTCCAATTTTATTTATTTTTGCTAAACCCTTATGAACGTAGTATATATTTTTAGTTCATTTTACAAAATGTTCTTTTAATATTGCTCTATGTTTGATGTAGTTGTATTTAGTTCATGATGTCGAGGATGGGTGCAAAAATGCCGCCTTCAGCCAGATTAACATGCCAATGCGCTTAGTTAAGCATGTGCGATGTTACTCGGTTTGTACGTTTCATTGTTATTTAGATGAGGACTGAAGTAGCACATTAGCACGACCAGAAGGTGTTATTTGGGTTTTGTCTAAACTTACTAGTATGAACATCCTGCGTAACGCAGGTTCATCCAGCATCCCTCTTTTTTACGTCTATTTGTATACTTTCTTGTAGCCTACATTCTGCTCTCACCGAGAGGAACATACACATGTTAAATTTACACCTTTAATATGACCAGTTGCCATTGGATACAATTATGCTATTTTTTATGTTGAATAGATATAAGGCCTATTAACATGAAATCTGGTGTGGTTTTAAGTCAACTGACTTAACTTTTCATTAGGCCCAGCCTATTTATTATAATTAGTTTAATCGTCATTTAAAAGACAAAAAAAGCTTGCCCTTGTAGGGGGGTATTAAATAAGAAGATTGTGTCTGCACTAGGCTATAGGTAATCTATATGTGATCTTTGATAAAATATTTATTATAATTTATTTGTTGTACGTGTTAAATATATCTTCCTAACCCCTGATCTCAATCAGTTAGATTTACTAGTGATGCTTCAGTCACTTTACCCATCGTAACTTTAGAGCTAATTACCTTAATGCTTGTTATTCAGTCAGAATCTGCGGTTGAGAAAATCACCGCCACCACGTGAAATGGCTCAGTTATTGAGTGTGGTGTCACATGGGACTCTTCCAAGACACATTGTTAACTATGGGGATCTCCGTACTCCTATAATCTCGCGTGAGTAATTCGCTATGATTGGCTATACTGAAGTTACATGTTATCGCTGTAGTCATTTCCTATTCCCTTTTCTATTTGTAGTAAAATCAAATTCTCACATCATAAATTTGGCACACTGTAAAAGAATAGTTTACCATTAGGCCAGTATCAACAGATCTGGTTCTATTGTAAGCGGCCGCAATTTCTGTTATTTCTACTTGAGTGTTAGCAATTCCATTCAAAGTAAAATAAAAAGTGCGATGAACTCATCACTGCAAGTTGTCACTTTTCCATCAGTTTGACTTTACTTTTATTTTCAGTCAAACTTATGTTTTCCATTTGAGATTTTTTAAAATCATTTATTCATATTTCAATTTATTCATTTATAAATGTATTCATATTCATTTTGATCGATTTCTTTAACCTAAAAAACGAATGTCTTCCTTATGTTCCTCCAATATACAGATTTTGATGACATCATGAATTGTATCATGATAAATTATTGAGATGAGTTAGCTGCAAACCGCAGCGTTGTTATGATGTTCACTGAATACTGTGTTTCCAACACGAATAAAACGTCCAGAGTCGATGCAATCAATGGCTTCAATTCATTAAGTCTATTCAAGTGTATGTCTTAGGTGGGCTATGGCCCTTGTCATTAGCTAATAATTCTTCCATTTGAGTCTCACAACTTCTCTCTTCAACAAATGCCTCCGGCTATAAATACTAATGAAATATCTTTGGCTAATTTGATTTTGCTGGTACACTTGCAGTTATGGCTGAACTTTCCCACGAGATGAGCTGATTGAAGGGTCTCAAATCCTATAACGGAAGGGGGAAAACATTCAGAACATTTCCATAATTACCCAATTGGCAGCCTAATGACCTTCCAGAACAATAAAAAGATCTCTTGTTAATTCCATCTTTCATGCTGACATTCACTAGATTCCTATCTTATATGTTGAGAGTTCACAAGATAACAAGTGTACTTTCTTTTTTCTCGCCAGAGAACGGTCCATTCAATTATCCCCTGCACATCTCTTGCCAGCAAATGAAAGAGATCTGCTTGTCGCCCTCATCTCAAAGTTAGATAATTTATAGCCTTCTGGGGTTATAAAGATGGGGTTTCGAGCATTTTGAATGGTGGGACAGAAATGAAGAGCAGAATAATTAAAAAGATCACAAGTCCCCTGCGAATGCAATTATGACTGCCTTGCAAAGGGTCTGCGTTCACGTAGGGTCTACTGTTCAAGTTTTTCATATGTAGACTACTGTTCATGTATTTATTTATTTATTGCCCCTGAAATAGTTTTTAGACATTTATTTCTAAATATTACACGTAATGTTTGAAGATGTGTCGACGTTTTCTCAGCGTGCTATAGCCTACATAATTCATTCATGTAATTCTCATAACCAACAATAGCCTTTTAGAATATTACATTGTTGTCGTAGAAATATTTGATTCAACGAAAGGTATTAAACAAAGATTAACAGAAAGGTTCTCCATACAGTCAATCGACACCACAACAGCCACTTTATAATTTTCATAGCGAATGCTATACAAGAGCTGTTGATGCATTTACAGGGAAACTGTCATCCATAAGACAGTGCTACTGCTAATGATCTTGTGGGTATGATATTACTTTTTGATACACTGTAAGCCATTCAGCCATTTACAATTGCATATTATAAAGATCAACAAAGAATATAGAACCAATGTGCTGTGTAAACTACAAATGTCTGTTTTGTTTTTGTTTTTTTGCTGACAGCTATTTATCTGATAGTTGTAGAACAATAGGATTTTAGACAATTATTGGTAATATATGATTCAAAAGTCATGAGGTCTGGATCATATTAGATCATGTACCATTATGGAAATTAACCATGGTTTTAATATAGTAAAAATGTAGTAACCATGTTTTTTATTTATTTATTTATTTTTGGCTGATTGATTATCATTTG